GATGCAGGGAGTGGCACCTGCCAGTCCCTGCAGGGAGACTACAACTCAGGGTTCTCTTTTGGGGACTGCTCATATGACTTGAGTATCTGGTACTATCTCCCTCTCTTGCCCAGAAATTTCCCAGTTCCTGGTCTCTCTGTTAGGCTCCAAAGTTTATCCTGGTCTCCCTTTCCCCTAGCAGTTCCCAATTGAGGAAACTCTCACCTTGGGGCCCCAGGGTCACACTGCACACCTGTGTTGGGCAGCTACTGTGTTGGGCAGCTACTGTGTTGGGTTACCAGTGCTAGGGAGGGGGGAAGGTTGGAAACCTGGTACCTGGATGCTGGAGATCCAATCTGGGAACTGCCCCCACCTAATACGGCAAGAATGTTGGGCCAAGATGGCGGTAGTCTGCTTTCAGCCCCAGGGTGTCTGGTGAGGTGGGGGGGGCAGGCAATGGATGGCACTGTGCTGTGAGTAGATAGCAGCTGAGTGACCTGTGTGGGAGTGAAGCAAAGTCTTGGCAATCTGCAAATGTGTTGATTGGTGATTTTGCTAAGGCACTCACCGAGCATTGTGTGGGTTAGAACTTCAAGCTTTGGGTCCTGTTCAAATGCCAGGCATCCTACTCAAACACTGAGGCCCGGAGCCCTCTGCGGGGTCACAGTGCTGGTGATTTTTGTGGAGAACAGCTGTATGGGGGTCATCAAACATACTGAGAAGTACAGTAATCTGACTAGGTGAGATGTGGATCACAGAGCAATACAGAATGCTGCCTCCCTCTGTCCTGCCATCTTGAGAATTCTGCATTTTACCCCTTCTATGATTGAATGTTCCTACAAAACTTAGGTTGAATTTAACTTCTGTCATAATATTTTTAAGAAATCAGGCCTTTGAGATGTGAACATGCACAATAAATGGTTATTGATAAGAGGAGATTAGTGATTAAGCAATGTTTGGTGATTAACCATAATGACTATTAACATGTGATTATGTCTAAAAGGTGATTGCTTATTGCAGGAAGCTGGCTCTGATATAAAGAATTAAATTGGTCCAGTTGTTTTTTTGTCTGTTATAATAAAGCACAAAAGCCACATCCAGAGGCCAATGTCATGCTGGGCTTCCAAGTCTCTAGAATCATGAGCCATAGGAACATAGAGTATTTATATTTTACTCAGTTCATTATATTCTGTTATAGCAGTTTCAAATGAATTGCCTTTACAAAATTAGGGGAAAAATAAAAATCCTAAACTTTGTTTAAAATTAATAAATAATAGTATAAAAATCAAGGGATTCTGAGCATCCATCAAACCAGAAAGAGATGTGCTAAGAGGACCCAACAGTCTTAGGACCCCAAGAGAATTTATTATAACTAATTTAAAGTAATAAATAATATGAATGTAAAACAGGCTGAATTATATATCTTTATATTATAATGGAGTCAGAAAATACAGTTTTAATATGCATGACATCAGAGAAATTATCCATGAGTACGAATTGTCCAGGGACCACAAAGATCATGATGTGTCCTCAGTAGAATCAAGTGAAATTCAACAAAATGTGGAAGGATCTCAAAAGGAATTTATACAGTGGAAGAAGCCATTCAAGAGGGAAATTCTACTGTTCTTTTTCAATTGTACATTTTATCAAAAAGGAAAACTGAGCAACAGTCACAAGGAGAAAGTCAGTGGTTGTCTGGGAAGAGATGTGAGCTGAGATGAAGGGAGGATTCTCAAAGGGAAAAGGAGGTTTGTGGGCTGGTGACTGGATTTCTTGGCCTGACTGTGCTGATGTTCCCAAAGGTGTGAAAATATCTCAAATTCTGTCACAGTTTCCACCTGTGTGTGTTTTATTACCTGCCAAATATCCCATGTTAGAAAATGTATATAAAATTAAGTTAAAACATGAATCACAAATGTACACAATAGACCCAAGAAGAAGATGACACAGCTCTAGAATTCCTGGAAACAAGGAATTAATGGATGATGGAGTCATTGAATTCCCCATCATAGATCAAGTCTGAGATGACTAGGGTTGCACTGGCTGCCTCATCACCTGAACTTCAGGGAATGAGACCATAGCATCCTTCTCAGATCCTCAAGCTAAAGAGGATCAGAAATTTCTGTTTATGTTGAGTCCTCTTCCTAGGAACGGGTTGCTGCAGATGACTCTGAGGATAGAGGAGAGGATGCTTCTCACTCAAAATGTTGCCAGTAGATTCAGCTGGGCCTACTGTAGTGGTAGCAGAAGCTACTGGCCAGGCCTGAGCAGAGGTGATGGGCATTATTCCTCCTGAGAGATGGTAAAGGGATTCTTGTGAAACTTTCCCATGAGCCTGGAGTACTGAGATTGTTGTTATAGGACTGATAGTAATAGCCTCCTCCTCAGGCTGCAGCCCAGTGTTGGTCAGCAAGCCTGAGTTTCCTGACTAGGAGACAAAGCAGCGATCAGGAACCCCTGAATGTGGATTGCTATCATCACAGATGAGGAGTTTGGGCACTGTTCCTGAGAGCTACAGATACCAGTGCACATAATCTTCTTTCTGAAATGTTGGCCATTTTATAAATTTTTTTCTGTGTTGCTTGGTGTAAAGAGCTCAAATATTCTGTTTAATGTTAATCTTTTCCTCATGCTCTTCCTCCCTGTTCTGTTCTTAGTTGCTCTCTTTATATCAAAGAAGACATTTAGCATTTGTTTTTTAAGGATTGGCTAGCTTCGCTTAGCATAATCTGTTCTAATGCCAAAAAAAAAAAAAAGAGCTCAAATATTCTGGTTCACATTTAGAGATAATAGTAGAGGAAGGTATAATCAAAAGAAAACTCTGTATGTCTAACCAGAGATCCTGAAGGACTATTTATTAAGAGAGTTTAAACTTAAAATTTTTGATAAGGAAATTTAGTTCTTGTCAGGTTGTCGCGACCCCTTGCCCGCAAGGAAGACGCAACTCGGGAATCTTCTTTCAACAGTTTATTCAGGCCCTGGATATTTCTTCTTCTCTCCTTTGGATGCCCCTCCCAGCCTTAATAAAGCATCCCAAGCCCCAATGCAAAGCTGCCGCGTGGAGCTTTCTCACAGGGTGGTGAAAACTCATGTGCCAACTTTCCCAGATAAGAACTTGTTTGTCACAGACCACAGCAGAGCCAGCGTCATCTTGTAATGGCGACCATAGTCTGCAGAAACGGCAGAAGCGGCTCACCACATCAGGTAAGTGATTTAAACATCACAGTCAACCTCCATCAGATAGTAAACTATATAATCAGAAATCAACTTCCTAGCTTAAAACACCAAAGTTTTGCCATTATCCAGATAAAATTTATTGTCTTATGGATTTCTATAAGCCCTCAATTCTTGGTGTAGGAATAAAATATTATGAGGAAATTAAATTGAACATATGACTTTATATCTGAGCACAAATGAACACATGCATATTTGCTAATTCTCTGTCTCCTCTGAGCAGTGACAGAGGAGGCCATATTTTAGAGAATGCTACCTTAAAACCAACCCTGAAGGGCCTCTCCTTGCCACTTTTCCCATCTTCATTGCGTCCTGGTGAAAGTTATCAGACATTGGACCATGACAGTTATTCAGAGCAAGGGACATGTCCTGTCATGTGTAGCCAAATGTGCTTTAATTAGAGACAGAGAGTGTGTGCATGAAGAGTTAACATTATGAAAGGAGAAGTCTGGCTTTGTCCTGGCCCCTGGTGGGTAACCTCCTCATCTTGGGAATTTCCTCAGGGACCCCTCATGAGTTTATGCTCAGGAGGTGATTCATGGTCTGTTCTCACAGATAGTTTAAGAAAGAATAATGACCATACTAGAAAGACCACATAGATGACTACAAATTTGGAGCTTTGGGTGCATTCTATCAGAACAACCTCCTCATCTTCATGGAGTTGAGGGGGCTGGATATTGAGTTTATGTCAACAGAATTATGTTGATGTGTTTAAGGTATAAGGACCCAATAACTAGTCTGTATTCTCAATTTCTGAGTGATCATCTGTGGTGGGTAATCCTTCAAAACTATCAGCAGAGCAAGACATCCTGAGTATAAGGATGCTTCAATCTGTGAACTCCCCAAAATAGACTTCTCTGTCTCTTTAACTGACTTGACATGACTTTACTTCTTTAAAATAAGACTGCAATCTTCTAAAAAATAGAGCTTTCAATTTATTCTCTGATTGTCATGCATCTGCAAACCTGAGGTGTTCATGGGAACTCCTCAATTTGAGGTGAAATGATCCTAAGTGTAGTTTGTCTGGAATCCCTGAATATGGTGTCTCAAGCAAAGTCAATATTAACCTGTGAGATCTCCCCTAGATCCAGGTAATTAGCAGCATAAACATGCTGCAGAATGATTTTCTTGCACAAGAATAAATTCACTGTATGGATAGCAAAGGGGCAACTCCCAAAGGTGTTACAGAGCAGGCTCAAATCCACATCCTGAGTGCTCCATTAGTTCTCTCTGTTTCTGACACTGTCTGTCTCTGAGAGTCAAAAACAAACTCCCTTAGATCTCTGTGTACATGTCAGTGTACAAAGGTGGCAAGGTGGGTGAAGCCTAGGTGGACCATGCATGCATGTGTTACCTTACATTGGGGTCAAGATCTGGAATATCAAGGGAAATATTCAAATCTAGTCACTGTGTGGAATACTCCTAATTGCTGAATATGGACAAAAGTAGCACAAGATGGTGACAAAGGGCTGTATGATATACACATCTGTAAATAGCTTTACAGTGTCTAAAATAAAATTCCATCAGCAGATTCATGACTGGGAACAAACACACATGTCCAAATACAGACTAAATATTTCAAACACTACTAAGAACAAATTTGTATTTGAGGGATAATTAATGTGAAATAAATTCATAAAATATCTGGGAAGGTAGAAATTATTAACCAGGGTCAGGAGGCTCCTTATGACCTATGAGTCAGGACACTGGGAAGTGAAGTGTAACAGGGCCCATCAGCCTGGTGGTTTTTGTCTTACTTCCCCTCTTCCTGTGTCACTGTGCTCTCACTACCATGGGGTACCTACAGTGGTAGACATTTCATCTTCTTCCTGGATGTTCTGGATGTTCAGGCACCAATCCAGGCCAGAGCCTGAGCCTGAGAAGCGATCAGGAATCCCATTCCCCTTGGATCCCACAATGCCACTAGTGCCCACTCGCATCACAAACCTGTGGCTCTTCCCTGGGCTTTGCTGGTACCAGTCCATCTTGTAATTACTGTAGCCACTGCTCAGGGTGCATGTGAGTTTGGCGGTTTGTTCCAGGGAGGCAGATGCAGAGAGTGGCTGAGTCAGCACAGGTTGGAAGAGGGACCCTTTAAACACTGATATATCACAATGGAAATCAGAGCAAGGGTGCATGTGTTTGGGTATCTGAGCCAGTGAGGATAGACTCAGGACAGACGTCTGCCATGGGGCACAGAGGTCTGTCCTTACCTGGGCAATGAGCAAGCATCATAAGAAGGAGAAACTTCCTGACCATGTTGGGCAGTTTCCTCAGTTCCAGAGCTGGTGTGGGCTGCCCTCAGCCTTTCTTATCTCTCTCCACTGGACTTAAGCTGGAGCTGCTCATGCAAATATTTCTCCACCTACTGCCCCTCACTGGCTGCACTTCTTGGAGCCTGGAATGATTCAAGACAAAGTGTGGATGGTGGTGATGATTTTATTTGCTAATGGGCAGAACCTGGGAGGAAGCAGTGCTCGGACTATGCAGAAGAGCCAAGGTGCTGAGTCTACCTTAGTGACACAGATTTCACTCCTCTGCCCACCCCTGTTCAGATGTGCAATTTTCTTGGGATTTCTCAATCTGTGAACATACTTTTAGGGTCCCCCAAAAGTGTTCCATGATCTCCTGAAAATTACATGTAGAAGTTAGACTTCTCTTCAGTATGGACTCTGCCTTTTTACCTTTTCATTTGAATCCTAGAAATACTGATGGAAATATTTCTTTGTTAAGTACTGTGCTCAGATTAATATCACGACTGCATGTGGTAATTTGGGTATTTGTTTTTTCCATCAAAAATTCACCAGGAATCAATAATTGAATATGAAAGTGTCATGAAAAACAAGCATTGAGCTAGATATTCTCACTGCTTGATATAGTTTAGGAAATCCAAGCCAGAGGATCATAATAAATCTTTATTTTATGTCCTCTCATTATGTCCATCCTTCCAGGATATGTGATAGTAGGAGCAAATGTGACTCCATTTTGTTTTATGATTTCATCCTGTAAAACAACCATGCCAAGTAGAAGAGTCATGACTGGGGCAAGATGTTCTTTCCCTTTTGCTATAGAAACCTTTAAGAACACGGAACTACCTAATGGGGCATTGTTTCTGTAACTAGGGTAATGGGGCTCTGTTTCTGGGGTGACTGGGATAACTGTGATTGGTTAGGCTTCCCTCCACTTGACTGCACTGTCCCGCTTCTGTAACCTGGCTTGCTTGCATTGGCTAGACCCCCTGAACATCCCTTTTGCGGTTTTCAGGCTTATAAGGAGTACCCTTGCAATTGTTCGGGGCTGATTAGGGAAACAGCTTTGTGTTCTGGTCAGCCGCCACCGGTGTGCTTCAATAAAGGCTTGATTCGATTATATGTGAGTGGTCTGGAAGTCAGTTTATGAAACCCTGGGACAAAGCTTTAACTATAACATTTGGGGGCTCGTCCAGGATCCATTTCTTCCCTACCCTCACGCCAAATTTGCCTCCAAGGATGGGCCTTTGGACCTCAGCCCTGGAGTAGAGGGGATCTCCTGAGAGATGTTCCTCGCCTCACTCCGAGGACAACTCCAATCCATCCTAGGACACTCTGAAAAGCCTCCTGCTGGCTGACAGTTCTGGTGAGTCGACTCTTCTCTGGGGGAAAAGGTCAGATTGGATGCAGTCACTTACACCTTCCCCAGGACAGGACGAGACATTGTCACTGTCTCCCTGGAGGTCTACCTGTGAGACCTCATCTGTCTGTATCTGGGGCCCACTGGAGGCCTCCCTGGAAGGCCTCATCTGTCTGGGGGCAGGACGAGACATGGTCTCTGCCCCATTAGAGGTCTCCCTGTGTGATCTCAGGGATTGTTGCTTGTCCTGTGTCTGTTCTGCTGTTTGTCTTTTCTCCAGCATCTTCTTGCTGTTTGTCATTTGTCCAGTGTCTGTTCGCCGGCCGTTTGTCTTGTGTTTATCTGTCTGAGTGTTGTGCGTGGGGCCCTTTTCTTGTTCTCATAACCACTTTTCTTTCATCAGGACTCTTTTGCTCCACCAACATCAGAGACAAGGAAGCACTACAGAGATCTCTACCTGGACTCCTTTAACTTGTTTTCTTAACAATTTTCAGGACTTTGTCTGTTGGTTGGTTTTTGTTTGTTCCCTTTGTGTTCTGTGTTAATTTCTACCTCAGTTTGTTTCTAATGGGAAAAAAAATGGTTAAAACTGTTTTAACTGTGCTCACTACAGCTTGCATTAAATTGTAAAGTGCTGCCAACAGAACTAAAAAAATTGTCAAAAGTAAAAGCTAAAGGTAAAAAGAAAAATACATTCTAGAGATTGCCTTCATTTAGGAACTGGGCCAGGTGGCCAACTGGGTAAATCATGTCACTTCCTATAGAGGACAGATTAAAACTAAATTGTTTTGTAAAATCGTTATTCCTAAATTGTATATCAAAAAACATAATTTTGTCTAGAAATTTGGCTTTTGTCTCTCAGTATTTGCAAACATGAATAACTCCCAACTATTAAAAAATAGTTCAAAGATTTTTCAATGTCAAGCTAAAAGTTGGTGGCTGCTATCCAAGAAACCAGAAAAACCAGTTTAAAATGGGTCCCCAACCTGGGGGATTCTCCCAAGGAGACCAATGAAGCTGCGTCTTTGGGAAGTTTCTCCAGGGAAAAATAAACCACCTTCATTTGTCTATGTTCCCTCAACTCTTTTCAGCTTTAATGAACAGGACCACCTCAGGAAAAAGGTCAGAAACTTAAAAAATTCTATATTTCTTAAACTCATAATTTTGATCCAATATGCCTAGGTTAATATGTTTTTCTGATTATACTCTGCTTTATTCTGAGGCCAATTTACAAGGGCTAACTCTCAATCTAATAGGTTTTAAAAAATAAGCTACAAGACTTTTGTTTGTTTGCTTTGTGTGGGTACACCGGTATACTGTCTGTCTATGTGTATTGTCATGTCTACATGTATTTGGTACAAAAAATTGACATATGAGATCATAAATTAAAATTAAAAAAATGGATCCAAATGCTTTTGGTTAATATGATTTAAAGGGTTCAATTCAAATTGGGAAAATAGATAAAAGTACAAATGTCTTTAAAGTTACTAATACACAGTTTTGTTTCTAGATGGTTAAAAAGCTGTTAAAATGTTAATGTCTATAAAGTGTCTGATATCCATCGTCTCTAGGATTTTATTCAACAACAACAACAACAACAAAAAGATTACTAATACTATTCAATGCACTTGTCTGATACCTTGTTTTTAAAAAAAAGATATGTAAATTTCATCTAAACATATATAAAATTAATCGTGTATGTGTTTGTTAAAGACATCTAATTGCTACAAAGTTAAAATGCTAACTGTTAAATATAATATCAAGTACTCTTAACTCCTTAAATTCCATAAGGTAAAGTATTTAAACAATGTTGGTGTTTTCATAAATTTGTAAACTAAAAAGAAAGTTTAAAATTATTTTCTGTTATTATAAAAACAAGGTTACTATAAATTACAAAGTCCCAACAGGTATAATTCTACATACAAAGAGTCAAGATGCTTCAATTGTATTTCAATTAAAGTACTGTAAGTAACAAATATTTCATCTTATTAAAATAGATCAATTTATCTAAATTCAAAAATTTATAAGGGTTATTTCAAGATACAAACAAAAAAGGGTCAATGGATTAAAAATTATTAAAAAGTTCTAAATATAAAAATATATTTAATAAAAAGCGTTTCCAGGTAAAAAGTTTTTATGTGATAAAGTATAATTATAATACATCTAAGTAAACAACAAAAGGGTCTAATTAAGTAATATAAAGGTGTATAAATAAAAGACAAATATTAAAATATTTATATGTAACTAAGTTGGTTATATATGTAACACAAATAGTTAAAACTATTCAAGGTTGTTCCCTAAGGGCAAATAATAATGTACTGATATATTTATATGTTAAATTGACAAAAACTTCTAAAATATTAATTACAGAGTCTGCAACGCGCGCGCTGGGATAGAGACGCAGGGTTACAGTGCTGCAGTTTCTGCCAGCCGCGCAAGCACCGCACTCAGGGCTGAATTCTGGGTTCGAGACGGGGGAAGGAAGCGGTCCATCTTGGTTCTCCACACCGGTCAGACCACAGAGGAGGCCAGCAGCCACCATGTTGGTAAACTGACGTCACCATACCTGTTTTTGACTGACCGCAGCTCATTCAGCCATAGAACAGGTAATTTCAGGCTGCAATTTGCCTGCGGCTTGCAGACAGATTGCTAGGGTTCAGCGCCTGGGTGCTTCTTAAAATCTTATCTTATCGGAGTGAACACCGAGCGCGGGGCGGCCGAGTTCTGGCTCCCGGAACCGTCCCGGAACCGCCCTGGCTCAGGGCTGCGGAGTCTGCAGAGGCTGCTTCTTGGACCCTGCTACTATCAGAGCAAACACCAAGCACTAAGAAGCCGAATTCCGGCTCCCGGAACTGAGCCCGCGGGGACTGCTTCTTGGAGCTTACACTTATAGGAGCTTACACCGAGCACGGAGGGGCGGAGTTCCGGCTCCCGGAACCGTCTCGGAACCGCCCTGGCTCAGGGCTGCGGAGTCTGCAGAGGCTGCTTCTTGGACCCTGCTACTATCAGAACAAACACCAAGCACTAAGAAGCCGAATTCCAGCTCCCGGAACTGAGCCCGTGGGGACTGCTTCTTGGAGCTTACACTTATAGGAGCTTACACCGAGCACGGAGCGGCCGAGTTCTGGCTCCCGGAACGTCCCTGGACCGGGGCTAGGAGCCCGCGGAAACTGCGTCTCGGTCCGGGTCCTGCTGAGGGCCGGTCAGGACTCACCCGTTGCTTGGGTTGCCCGGCAAGGGGAATGAAATGCTGCCATTCACATAGGATACCAACATGGCAGAGATCTGATGTCAGCAGAAAGCGGTGGAGGAGAGATCTTCATCAATACCAGCGGTGACATAAGCAGTTGGTCTCCTGGTAAGGGGGGTGAGGCTCAGTCACCCGAGTCTCCTTAATTTGTCCTCGAGCCAGAGGGAAGGAGCCGGGCCGCCGCCAGCCCCCGGAGCAGGCTCAGCGGCTCGCCAGCGTGGTGACCGCGTGACCCCAATTGGAGAAGGGGCGGAGCGGAGCCGCCACCCACACCCGCCAGGTGGGCAGACCCACGACCCAGTAGTACATGGGCGTGGTAGGAGGGGCAGGGCAGAGCCGCCCTTCGCGCTTGCAAGGTAAACAGACCTGTGACAGCCTGGCGGGTCAGGCCCAGTGGCCT